GTAAAACCAAGAGCAAAGAACTGGACCAGCCATACATGGTTAGAAATAGAGGTAGTTTATTAAGAAAGAAAAAGCACTTCTGAGAACAGAGGTAGCTACTGAGAGGAGGAAAAAGCATGGACTTAAAAATATAGATCCATACTGGGTGTGGGGCACTTGCCTTTAATCCTAGCACAGAGAGACGAGGCAGACGGATCTCTGTGAGTTGCAGGCCAGTTTGATCTACAGAACTAGATCCAGCACTGTTGGTTATGCTATGGCACTGCCCCTCATGGCTGGTTGCCACCCGCAGCGGCCATGCTGGCGGAGGAGCGTGCTGATTAAAAGAATCATAGCCATGGTTACCTTTTTAGAGCTTTATTGGGGTGTGGGGGGGAGAGAGACAGAGACAGAGACAGAGAGAGACACGGGGGGGAGGGAGAGAGGGGGCCAACGGGAGGAAGGAGCAGAAAGGAAAGGGGACAGAGAGTGCACCTGCTTTTTAGGCTGGTATGCTATCGAAGGCTGATGATGTAATTAAGGACCAAATCCTTACATCCCAGACTTTCCCTTATTATAAAAAAGCAGGTAGATGGGAGTAGGGGCGTCATTCCTCACAAAAACTGCTTCCAGCTGACTTTTGGACTTTGGTTGGCTTTGGAGGGAATGGAGAAGGGGAGTTTTCCGAGGTAGACAGGTGTTGAGGGATGCTGTCTGTTATCCATTTACTCTGGAGACATATATCCCTCTTGGCTGTGGCTGGGAACTTTCTGTTTGACAAGATGCTGGTGACACAGAAAAAAACTTAGAGAGATAAAAGAGTCATTATTATTTTATGTTGACATTTATCTGAGGTAGATCTGGCCTGTCCCTATGGATTTTGAAACATGTTAAGCTTTATCAGAAACAGATTATTTTAAAGCACCTGTTTCCTTTACTAGTTCAGCATCTAGGAGACAGGTGATCAATTGTTAAAAGTATCTCATAGTAATAGATGTTTACATTAAAGTCTTTTGTAGCGCCCAGACACTTTTGGGTCTGGAGGTGTAAATACCTTTTAGCTGTTACAGTTTCTTATTTGATGATCTCTGGACTCCAGTTCTGTGGTGGTCCTGTACCATTAGCTGAACAGTGAGTTAGAACAGGGAACTGGGAAGAGAAAAGCTTGTGGTGCATATTTATTTATTTATTTATTTATTTATTTTGGAATTAGGGACAAGGCAAAGATCAGGGCCCTGTCTGTATGCACGTGAGAAACACAGGCAGTGGATCTGGAGTGAAGCAATGAGCTCTTATTTTAGGTGAAAATCTTTTTTCATTAAGTAACTCTGAAAGTGCAATTAAATCTTTCCAGAGGTGGTAAGGCTGTCCTCTGTACCCAACAATAAAGGAGAGGTGGCATCCCACAACTCCCAGGACTGAGTCAGTGGCTCTGGTGTCCAGAAGGAAAGAAACGGATCGCTTCCCTGCTGCGTTCTGGGTTCTCTGCCATGTCTGTAGCCAAGCCTAGGTCTGCTGGAGGTCTTAGCTTGATGTACCCATGCATCTTGGTGCCTGGGGGCAGTCAGCTGATTCTGTCTTTCTAGGCAGCACTTTTAACAAGGCTATTGATGGCCTGGCAGGGCATTCGCTAGCCCGTGGCCTTTTCCTCACTTGAAACAGGGACCCAACAGCTTTTGGGAGTCAGCAAGTGCCAGCACTTGGCAATTCTGTTTTTGGGCTTTTATCTCTTCCCTGGCACACCTTAAATGCCACAGATGACTCTTTTGCCTGTGGGGTCAGGAGCCTTGCTCTCCAGATGCTTAAGTTTTAGTCGGGGAGGTCTGGGGAACAAGAGATGAATTTTACTCCAAGCCCTGAATTTTTTTCCCCCTGATGATTGATGGCTTAAGGACAGCTTTTGGAAGATCTGTCAGTAGGCTATAAGCTGATTTTTTTTGGCTGAAGACCTATCCTGATTATTGTAAACTTATTTGTATGGATCTTAGCCACTTCCAGACTCCTCTGTGTTTCTCAAGGCAGTTTGAGAGTGGGTGGAGTTAAGGTGAGTTAGGGCGAGTCATAGAAGCCCTCCAAGCCTGCCCATTTGAGCCCGCCCGCCACCAGCAAAAGTCAGACAGAAAAGGTTGCACGTGGCTGATGCAGAAAGTGGGGAAGGAGAAGGGTTTAGAACTTTAGCAGAAAGCTTGGAGATAAAGTAACTCTTAGTTGCCCGTTCACTGGCAGAAGTTCCCGCAACTCTGTTATGTGGCCAGGTTTACTGGTGCCCGCCCCTATCTGCCAATGTATCCGCCCCTTTGTCCCATGACTGTAGCCGAGAGAAAAAATAAAAAATTAAAATAACAAACCAGGATCAGACTACAATCTTGGGCGTCCCCAAAGAGTGGAGAGAGATCCATGAATCAGCTCAGGTCACGAGTTCTCTTCGTCAAGGGATCTTGTGAGGGCTGCAGCTGTACTGCAGTTGGTCCACCCCCACTTACTTTCTCGTCAGAAACGAAAATGTGCCATTGCCCGTACAGCCTGAGGACAACCCCCGGGGTGTCCCTTGCAAAGAATATAGTTCAGACTACAGCTGAGAGAACAGCGGACTTACTGTGGTGAAGAATCATGGCAGTAGTGGTGTGGGGGTCCAGCAGAGGCGGTGAGGGACGCGTGCATGCTTGAGGTCTCACAGTCTCTTTGGATGGGGGAAGAGGCGGCAGTAGTCTCAGCAGGTCCTTGGTGCTTGGTGGTGTATCCGAGTCTGAACAGCACCAATGTTAGTTATGCTACGGCACTGCCCCTCATGGCTGGTCGCCACCCGCGGTGGCCATGCCGGTGGAGGAGCATGTTGATTAAAAGAATCATAGCCATGGTTACCTTTTTAGGGCTTTATTGGGGTTGGGGGGAGAGGGGGAGAGAGAGACAGAGACAGAGAGAGACACAGAGGGGGGAGGGAGAGGGGGCGCCTACAGGAGGAAGGAGCAGAAAGGAAAGGGGACAGAGAGGGCACAGAGGGCCCACCTGCTTTTTAGGCTGGTATGCCGTCAAAGGCTGATGAC